AAAATACTAGGAAACTAAAATTGTCCTAATTTGTCCTGAGAATGTTAGATTAAGGATTCTCTTCATAAGAACCAGGCAAAAATTGTATTCTTTGTACACTTTGAATCAACATCAGGTCAGGAAATTTGAAGAGGTAAAAAGTCTCTTTATAAGAATTCATGACATCTGCTATTTTGACTGTTATATTTACAGTCCTTTTACAAACACAATTTCCTCTTCTACTCTACAATTCAGTAGAGGAAATTCTACAATTTCCTCTACTGAAGATCTGGAGACAATTGCTTGAAGTTGGGGCTTTATTAATAAATATATTTATTAACTTAAAACCCTCATAGTTTTGAAATTACTAATAGTAATTTAGAGAAAGGAAAAAATAAGTTTGTGGATAACAACACCAGAGGCAACTGCAGCCAAATCAAGTAGAGAAAGCAGATATGTAAGAACCTACTTATATATTTTGCATTATTAAGTATTACAACAGCCATTGTAGTAAGAATGAAGATAATTTACCTCCATCCTAGGCTTCTGTCCTGTCTGTACAAGAAACTTCTGCAGTCCCTGAATGTGTGAATAGCTCCTCAGAGCTGGAGATAAATGTCTCATTGGAACTTTATCATATTTGTGAAGAGATTGTCTTAATTTAAGACAGGCATTGTCTTCTGCTCATATTGCAGACCCATTCTCTCAGCTGTTCCTGACACATTTTAGTTAGAGCTTCATTAACAAAAATTAAGGTCTTTCTTGCCCTTTCAAGGTCGTATCTCAGACATGGATCCAAAGCAGCACCTGCACCTGACAATCACATATACCTACACCATGACTTCATTTTAACCTGCAGAATTATTCAGTTAGCATAAATTTGACAATCATGTAACTCAGCATGTTGCTTCCACATTGTACTGGGCTTACATGGCAAGGCTTTAGCTCTGCAGGTCTGTGGGTGTTGTCTATGTGAGGCCAAATGGCTCCAAAATGGATTCCCTGTTGTCCAAAGCTTAGTCCATAAGTGATGCTGGTAAATCCTCACATTTAAGAAAGGGTAAAAATGTTCCACAACAACTGTGAGGCAGAGGAGTGAGAGAAATGTGAGAGAAACAACCCTGCATACACCAAGGTTGTTGAAAAAGGAGGGGAGGAGGTGCTCCCAGTGCTGGAGCAAAGGTTTCCCTGCAGCCCATGACAAAGGGTATGATAAAGATTTCCCCCCAATGGAAAATGAAGAACCATGTTGTAACAGATCCCACCCAGCAGCCCACAGAGGACCCCACACCAGAGAAGGAGCAGTTATCTTTATATCAAGCGAGCAGCTAAGCTAGGTAAGATCCAAGTGTCGATCTTAACATGTTCTCCCAGGCAGTGGAAAGGCTAGACCCAGACCTGTGGCACAGATGTAAGGCTGAATTGCATTTTTCCCATCTATGTAGATAAAATAACAGGGAACCTAAGAACGAAACTTATAGAAATAATATATAGAGGAATATGACTCATAACTAAAATAAAACTTGTAAGAGCTCTGAAGCAAGTAGACCTTTAAAAAAAATTTTAAAGAAGTGAGATTCAAAACATAAATTTGACATAAATTAAATATTTTGTGTTTAAAGCACTCAGTGATCAGAATAATTTGAGCAATGTTATTTCTCTTCATTAGGGAATGGGGAGAAGGAGCCATATTAAAGAAACAAGTAAACTCACATAAGTTGTGATCTTCCCTATTTAGATAGCCTTATATGACATTTATGTGTAGACTCAGCTACAGAGAAGGCTGAAGGGCGACCTGACCTCTTTGCTCTCTACAGCTTCCTGAGGAGTTGTTGAGAGAGAGGTGCTGATCTCCCTGCTGCCCAGTGTTAGGACATATGGGAATGGTTCTAAGCAGCACCAGAGCATGTTTAAACTTTGGAACTATCTCCTTATCAAGAGGGTGGTTAAAAAATGTCATAGACTTCCTAGAGATGTGGTCAATGCCCAAAGTGTTTCAGTGTTAATGAAGCAATTGGACATTGAGCTTAATAACCATCTTTAACTTCTGAGCAGTCCTGAAGTAGTCAGGCAGTAAAACTAGATGATCACTTTAGGTTCTTTCCAGATGAAATATTCTATTCTATTTTATTCTATAAAAACTGTACCTGGTATGAATCTGTTTTCCTTACAGTAAAGTAGTCCTACTTTCAAGTTATTTGGAAATTGCAACTAAAATAATTCCTTTCAATATTCCCTGATTTCCACGACTCTGATCCACTCTCAAGGTATAAGAGTGCTGTATTCCATTGTCCTATACCTAGTAGGCTACATTTCTGTGTGCCTTTGTGTATGGCTTCTCTAAACATATAATGCTCTTTTTCTTGCTTCTGTATTAATTATAGGGTTTTTATTTCTTTAATTATACCATTTCAAAACTGCAATATCACTAATTGCTTTCCATAGTTTCTTCAAGTTCTTTCTCTTCATGGTCAGATTAAAATCAGTGCAGTTTACTGATGGATAGAAAAAAGTTACAGAAATGGTAAATCAGTTCAGTGTACATTCCCATTTGTGTTGCAAGTCAGTATTCAATTTCAGATAAGAAAAAAAACCAGAAAAACTACTTTCTAAAGATGCATTTCTTAGGGTGGCATGTGTTTTCAGATCATCCTCTGAATGTGGCAGAGGTGTGGATGGGGAACACCAGTTCTGCCCCATTCCTAATCCACATTTAAGAGTATTTGCAAACAGATATTATTTCACAAGAAAAACAGATTAACAGATTGATTTATTTTCCCTCTTTCCAAGTGCTACTTTTAAACACAAAGAAGAAATAGGCATTTGGAAGCAGGAAAGCAGGAAAAGAATGATCAGATGCTTCTAGGCAGATTTGCCACTTGAATTTTCCATGTTGCATCCATTTCACAGCCATTCTTTGAAAATATTCACACTTTTTTTGTGGGTATGTGAATGCCCAGAATTAAACAGAACTGAATGCTTTAGTACAAAGCAGGAGCTGGTCATTTCCTGCAATACTTGGTCTATCTGCCTCATGCCTGGAGTGAGGGTATGAAGGAAGAAGGGAGGAGTGTCACAGTGGAAGTTCCATGGTGCTGAAGTTCAGAATAAATCTGTCTCCTGGCAACTCTGCACATTTGCTTTCCTTCCCTCTATCCAATGTTGTGGTACAGCAGAATACAAAGTCAGCAACAACTTTATATCTTCCTGCTGGAAAAAAAAAGTGACTGAATGCAAGACAGAGTAAACATAAAAGTGAATCAGAAAATGGAGTCTCTCCTACCCAGACATGTCCATCCTTCCATGTAAAAAGATGATGAAAATAGTACTCCTACATAATCATCTGGGGTTTAAATCAAGAGACTTGAGGAAGAGGAGAGGTTCTAGTGTTGATGCCTGAACAGAACTCCTGCTGTATTGCCCAGTGTTCTAGTAATGATACCAACTAGCTAAAACTAGTCCTCTACATCTACATAGTTTGCCTACATCTTGCTCTCTCCATCTCTTCCTAACTCTGTTTTCACTCTTGCCACTTCTAAATTTAAGTCAGATACCTTAAACTAGGACATGAATGTTTTAAGATTAACATTCAAAACTCAATTTTACATGAGCTTACTACTCTCTGAGCCAGTCTGGTTCTGGCTGCAGATGGACTATGTTTCCCTTTATTATCTCTTTACTTCTTGAGTCTCGGAAAGAAGTGAAGCAACCAGAAAAGTGATTTTAACTAACACATGATCGCTATCATAGCTGGGATTAAGGAGGTAATATCCAGCTCAGTGGTGGTAGCCTCTGAAGATGAACTAACTCTCTCTCTTTCAATTGTGATATTGAGTTCAAATCTGCATATATGATGGACAGGCAAGCTGTGCTTTTCACAGGCACTGGCCTCAACTTACAGATGGACAAGGCCTCAAATGACACAAGAAAGCTCCCTGCCACACTCCATTTGTCTAAATCACATTCTGCCTCTGATGATAAAAGAAGAAAATCCATTTTAAGAATGAACCTGCTCATAATATCCACATTTCCTAGTAAGGATTTTTCAGGCAGGAAGTAGTCCAAAGGAAAAGATTTAAAATATTCTTAAATTTCTTTTATGAGCCAGTCTATTAGCTCCTAATTTCATAGACCTTTTGACACAATCAAAGGCAGCTTTCCCTCTTGTCTTACAGGTACTCTGTTCCAAGCTGGAGCCAGAAATAAGCCTGTATGTAATGTGACTCAGGTGACTGATCACATTAAAAAGAGTAAAAACCAGTGACAGAAGATTCGCAAAGAACGAGTGGCCTGCTATGTTTTGCATGATTCATTGTTGGCCAGTGAATAAATTTATAAAATGACATCTCAGAGATGGGGGAAAAAAGAGTGGGTGGCAAAGAATACAATGTATTTCTATCCTATCTCTCCATCTCTATTAACAGAATGGCAGGAAAGGGGGGGTACCTGCTGGCCTAAAAGTTAAGACAAATGCAGAATTTCCTTTGCTAAAGGTTACTTTACCAACTTGCAGCATGTGCTTGTTATTCCCCAAACTTTCTTTCTGCTCTGAAATCCTGTGCTACCCTCCTGTGACATTTTCTTGCATGCGCTCCACTGAAGTTTGGGTCTATTGTTTCCCAACAAGAGAGCTGATCCTTCAGCAGTTACTTATTTATTGAGGTCACTCGAGGTCAGTGATGTGGATTTTATGGGGTGCTTTTTCTTTAGAATACGGTCAGTCTGGTGTGTTGGAATTTCTTTAATTTTGCAAAGAGAGAGGCATAGGGTGGGGGAGTTTCATTTTAAAATTAGGTACATATCAATAATCACATAGGTCTATACCTGCACTGTATTCATAACTAGAAATTTTCAGTATGTCACCCTCCTGTCCTGATTTTGGTTTGGTATTAATGGGCTCATATAGCTTTTCATGAGCAGGATCTCAGTTCTTTATTCTTCACTGAGGACTTTTTTTTTTTTTTTTATATGTGTGTGTGTGTGTGTGCATTATGCAGCAAGGAAGGGCTACTCTGGCTTACCTCTCACATTTCCTCCTTGCCTGGGTGACAGGGGATTTGTTGACATTTGCTGCATGTCCTGTCGCTATTATAAATCGGAAGCTACATTTCAAGCTTCAGCACACTCAGAGTTAAGCTGCACTGGAAACTGACAATGAAAAATATAAATGGAAGAAATTTGAAGATGTGAAAAGGGAATTATTTGGGGGAGTCTTTTATTTTAAAGCATTTTAAAATGGAGTGAGAAAAAAAATCCTTGTACAGATTTTTTAATGTAAACTTTTTAAAGTTGGGTTGGGTTTTTTTATTTGTTTTCTTTTCCAAGCAGGATGCTTAAAGTTATGGTTCTAACTCTTTGTTTAGTCACCAGATTTTGCCACTCGAAAATCTTCCCCTGAAACAATCCTCAGTACAAAAAAAAATAGGATTTGTGATAAAAAATTTCCAGAATTCTGAAAATGCCCTTATAAATAGTGCTTGTTGTCAAGATTTTAAGGAACTGAGAAATTTGATGAAAACCCCTCACATTTCTGCTTATATAATACACAATAAATGAATACCAACTATGGCAAAAATTAACAAAGGAAACTCAAAGTAAATTTTACAAATCATACCAAATAAAATATTTAATCTGACCAGACATTAATATTTCTTTTATAATTTCAATTTTTAGGAAATCTTTAGAAAAATGTTTGTTATTTTCTGTTCCATACCTAAATGGAAGGGAGGATTCTCATCAGGATATTTCTCCTTAAACTCCAATGGATTTTCTTGTTATTTTTGAGTTTCATGTGACCTTAAAAGGAATGTGAGTACAAATCAGTTTATTTATCTGGGCTACTTACAATAATGTCTGTTTAGTGAAGTGTAATTCAGAGGCTCAATTTTATTAAGGTGGCCACGATTCAAATCCACAATCCTTAAAAAAGTAGAACAAATAGAAAGCATAAAATAATAGAAAACGTGTAATTCAAAAATATTTTTCTTGACCTATTTTAACTTGTTTCATGATGTTTTTTTCTTTTTCTTGGGATAATTTACTTCATAATTCAAACCTGCAGATAATTTCGACCTCTTTTTCCCTTATTATTAGCTATTAAATTTTATTTAAGCTTGATCGTTTTTAAAGGGAGGGGTGGGATAAAGTGAAGCTTCTAATTTTGCATCCTGCTCTAATCTCCGATTTGAGAGTGCTATACTCTGGGGTTTTACATAGTAATATACGGGCAGCAGATACAGAGATGTGATACATACCCACACCTTTGCATATCAACCTCGAGGGGCCTGCATGTTTTGCACTGGTGGCTGACCAAAACCGTCCCTTTTGGACTTCAAATCAGCTAATCGCCCTGTGAGGGAACATCCTAAATTTTTTAGTTGGGACGGGCTTGAGGATTTATTTTTTGGGTGGGGCGACGGGTTGTTATTCCTAAACGGCAGTCCTCCTGCCCTTAAGTTTAAGGCTATTTTCAGACTTGGGAAAACGTTTGATTTTTTTTGTAATTATTGCTGGGATTTCCTCCCCCTTCCCCTCCCCCTAGACGAAAACTAAAATTGTGATTTAGATATTTGGTCCCAGCGGCCCTGCCTGTGCTCAGCAAATGGTTCCATGTCACTCGCTGCATCACAATATCGGAGTGGCGGCGCTCGGTGGCAGCTAATCCTCTGAGCCCGTTAATAAGCTTAGGAGCACGTTCATTGAAGACTGACGCGTTAGTCACAAACAGGGAGAAAATATCTACTGGGGGAAGCTGAATTGGTTTTAATCATCTGCTAATCACCAGTAATGAGACCTACTCTGGGGAAGAAAAGAAAAACAGATAGTCAGAGGGAGGTTTTGTTCTTCACAGCGGAGTAACAGGGAATGAGAGGGCAGCTGTTATTAGGAGAGAAAAGATGGAAAGAAAGGAGGGATTTGGCCAGACCAGATGAAACTTCTTCTGCGGCGCACTGTTTTGTTAGCTGAGTGTTTCTTTCATTCAGCCTCCAAAACTTCAGATCTGTCAGCCCCTCTGAAAGCCCCGGCCCACCTCTCCGAGCCGCCGGGGAGAAAAGGCGCCGCTACCCCGCCCCACGGCCCCCGGCCCG